GGGGGTGGTTTTAAGAATGGGATCCAAGACTCATGGCTCAGAACCTGACATGCTAATAAAGAGTAACTTGATTTCTGTTCTCCAGAGGTACACGCTAATTTCTAGAGTAGGCTACTTGGCCATAAGCAATAGAAACCAAGTTTGGCTAAGGAAAGTAAAAGAGGATCCAATGGTAGGGCCCAGGGTGATCCCCAGCCTTGAGGGAGGAGTTGAAGAGGCTGGAAAGAGGTAGCAGGACCCAGTGAACTGTCTCCAGGTGTCTGTGTCACGGTGCTCTTGTCCGGCTCGGCTCCCAGCACAGGTTTCTGGGAGAGAGGTTGGCATTCATGTCTTGGGTGGCAGAGCATCTTGGTTGTTCATTGTGGGAGACCCATCACGCTGGTGGGAGGAAAAGCCACGGGGAAGTAGAGTAGGAGCAGTAAGACAACAGGTGCAGGTGCCTGGGGTGGACACTGGTGTTAGTATAGTACATCGTTAGGAGGAGGGTCATCTCTTGGCACAGACTAAACAAAAAGGATGATTTTTTTTTTACTCGTCTCAATTGTGTCATGGAATGTCCCCTCATTAACTGTAGAACACCTGCTTTGAAAACCCAAGAGAGGACAAGGTTGAGTCCCCGAGAGTTCTCTGAATTGGAGGCCTGCATTGCAGTTCTTGTCAGCTGTAGCGTGGTCAGAGCATTCTTTCTCATCGCAGGCACTTTTGCACACCACCGCTGTAAATAGCCAGGCACATTCTCCCGTCATCCATACAGCTAACTGGATGGGTCTGTTTGTTTAGGAACTTAAACAGAGCCAAAGCCAGGCTCTTGATGTCCATCAGCATGAGATGTCAGTGCTGCAGAATGCACATCAACAGAAACTGACAGAAATAACTCGTCGGCATCGAGAGGAATTGAGCGATTATGAAGAACGGATCGAAGAGCTGGAACATCTGTTGCAGCCAGGTTCTTAATTTTGATTCAAGGCCTTCCCTTGTTAGATGACATAACCCCACGGGCAATGGCAACCGCTGTTTCCGAGGTTCTGCCAGACTGGCAAAGTCTTTCTGCCTTTGTCGTAAGCACCTGTAATGTGTCCATTTCTTCGCAATGTGGGATGTTGACAGTTTAGCAAGAAATTATTCAAGATATTTTCCCTTGGTTTCCAGTTCAAGTACATAGGCTTGTTAGTAGCTGATTCAGATAGTATCTTCCCCACCCTTGGATTTTAAAATGTGTAGTTTGCTAGGCGGTCCTGCGTGGGTGGTGGACGTGGTGAATGCACTTGAGGACTGGCCTAAAAGGCTGGAGGAGGATTAAGTCTACCCAGAATGCCTTGGAAGACAGGCTGCCTGGCGGTCTGCTTTTAATCACTCAGCCTTCGAAAACCCTACAGCGCACGCTTCTGTTCTGATGCACCGAGGCTCAGACGGGTGTTGGTGCGTGGCAGTTATTCAACTTAACTTTGCTTCCTAAGCTCTTCCCGGTCTTAACTCTGTCTACTCCCTTGGGTGCATAGCATGCGGGCCGTGCCTTGGAATAGACAGTTGATGTCCTGGATTCTGTGCTTGCTTTGTAGACGGCTCCGGAGTTGGAGTAACCGATCACTCTAAAGTTCATGAGTTGCAGAAGACAATTCAGGCTCTACAAACCGAAAAAGTAGAGTCCACCCAAAAAGTGGAGGAACTTGCGAATAGCGTGAAAGACATAAGCCAAAAGTTGTCGTCTGCGGAAAATGACCGAGATGCTTTGAGGCAAGAGCAAGAGCTGTTGAGTGTGGAAAAGAGGCGAATAATGGAAGAGTGCGAACGCTTAAAACGGGAGTGTGGTAAACTGCAGTCTTCTGTGACGGAGCAGAGTGACACGGGCGCAGGAAAGGAAAGGACCGCCCCCCAGAGTTCCTCAGTGGAAGAAGATGTGCTCCGACTGCGGCAAGCACTGTCTGGTATAAAACGTTTGGCAGTAATGGTTTTCAGAGTGGTGTCTCACTGAGTACTAGCCGTTGGTTGAGGCAGAATAGCATGTGAAAGAAACGCTTGACTATACGTTCAACGGAAATGAGAGCGTGTTCGCGGAGACGACTGGAGTTTGAGTAGCATTGTGTATAGTCAGTGCCAGAGTCAACAGGAAGTCGTAACTCGGCATTTTCTACTAAAGAGGGTTAAGCGTTGGCTAGCTATTTCAACTTCCTTACCTCATCCTTCACGTGCTTGTGTGGTGTGGATTGATTCAGGAGGCGGTAGACTTCTGAGTCAAGTGTGTGTGCCTGCACATTTGTGGGAGGAGGCGTGGTTCTGTTTCTGGTCATCTGTGTAGAGCTGGGCATACTTCTGGTGGCTCACCAGGGCCTGGCCTACCAGGTGGCGAGTGGAACCTTCTTTAATAGTCTGTTGTTTTTGGAAACGCCTCGCCTGTGTCAGCCAAGTCCTGAATGAGCAGAGCCGTGGACGTTCACCATTGTCCACGCATCAGATGGCATTTAGTTCACTGCACCAGCCTTCCGGGCTGCAACAGGAGCACAAGTGCGGCTCCCGCAGAGCACCCAGAAGCCCTGCTGGTGAAGAGGCCCATTTTGCGTCGTGCTTTATCATCTCACATTATCATCTCTCTCGATATGTACTCATTCACATGGTTCTGGAGGTGTCCAGCCATCACCCTGCCTTCCCCTGTGTGCATACCCCACAGCTAGGAGTTTGTGAGCTCCTGACTTGTTGACCCACTCACTCTCTTTGCATCAT